CTTGTGTGGAATAACGATAACGAGCAGTCAGAGACAATAAGACCAATGATTTCGTCGAGAACACGGGCAGGATTCACACTCAATGTCATCGACACGCCAGGACTTGTGGAAGCGGGTTGTGTGAACGATCAAGCCTTGGACACTATTCGGAAATTCATTCTCAACAGACCGGTGGATGCGGTGCTTTACGTCGACAGGTTGGACGGCTATCGTGTTGATTCGTTAGACCGACAGGTATGTAGACCAAACGACGACGGGGGGTGTATGTATCCCTTTAGCTAGGGTGTCGGTAGACCGAACAACCATATAGCTATCATCTGTAGCATCGCCGATTTGTCATGGATGCACAAAACTCATCGCCGTGTTCAGATCTGAAAACTGATGAATTCACTCAAAATGTCACTGTTGTTTTGTTCAAGTTTACCGGTTTTCACAACTTTTCGGATATGATGTTCATTTGTTTGCGTGTTTGGTAGTTCACTCGTTTAATTGTTCATTTGTTCATTTGTTTCCCCGTTCTCTTTTTGTGATTTTGTTGCTGTTATTTTATTCGAAAAAGAAAGGGGGAAATGAAGTAGCCTTTGCCTGTTTGCTAATTAAGTTGTGCATTCATCAAATTGAGGGGATGATAGCATTTGGTTGCTTGTGCTGTTGGACTGCACAATTTCTTACCATAGCATACCAATGGTAGAGGGATTGTCAGCGCCTAATTAGTATAGCTGATTGTCTGTTGCCTGTCGTCACAGATGCTGTCATCCAGCCGCGCAACGATTTTGTTCGTCTCTATGATATTCCTTAAGACTTTGAATGATACCGTGAGCTCTTCTGTGAAGCTACCCTCTTCATTTGTTTGTTTATTGATTCTGAATCCTTCCTTGTGATATTGATTGTGGCTCTCCGATGCTCGGGGGGGGTGTGGTGTGGTGTGTGTGTGTGTGTGTGTGTCCGTGTTGTGTGTGTGTGTGTGTGTGTGGTGTGTGTGTGTGTGTGTGTGTGTGTGTGTGTGTGTGTGTGTGTGTGTGTGCGTGTGCGTGTGTGCAGATCATGACTGCGTTGGCCCGCATGTTTGGGGTCGTTCTCTGGAAAATTGCACTGTTGGTCCTGACACATGGACAAATTGCCCCTCCGGATGGTACTAGCTATCCAGAGTTCGTTTCAAAACGCACGGAGGCTCTGCAGCAGGCAATTCAGCAGGCAGCAAAGTTTAAGAAGAGTGATCCCCAGGTCTGTGCTGCTACTGAAATTGTGCCCGTGGCCCTTGCCTTGTTGCATGTAATACACATATATTCATTCGCCTGCTTCCTTAAGCCACCACTACTCCCCCCAGCTAGTTCTTTATCCTACGTCCGGCATGCTCGGAGGTCGCCCGCAGGCTCAACATAGGCTTGGCATGGCCTTGGCCGTGACTCTGTTTTCAGATGAGAGAAGGGGGCCTCCGCTGTTCCACCAGGTCTTTTTTTTTGGGGGGTGGGGGGGGGAGCGAAGGGCTACCGTGATTCCCCAAACACAGTGCACCCGTAGGCCCCTTTGATCCATTTTTCAATTTTTTTATTTTATTTTTTTGCTGTTGGCTTTATTTGGTGTCCACTCTATGGACTGGTGACAAGTCTGGCTCAAAAGGTGTGGGACGTTTTTTGTTATAATGACGTTTGTTATAATGGCCCTGAAAAAACCCCTCCTGAAAATTTAGGGCTCTGTTAACCTCTCCTCCCCTCATCATGGGAAAATAACTGTCTTCAGCTGAACAGAATGCCCGGTCATTATTGCTGCAACGAGACTGAAAGTTGCACCAAATGCATCCATAATGACTGTTTGTTCTATTCGGGTGAGGACGGTAGTTGTATGCGTTCATAATATGAAGGTGAGCTTTCACCAACTGTATGGGACCTGAAGGGCTACCATTGTTTTTTGCCTTTTTTTGTTTTCTGTCATGCAATTTCAGCAAACTTTCTTCCGCCAATAATGACGCAGAATAGAGGAATCCGAAGCAACCGTCGCCAAAAGAGGAAGCTCGTGCAAACGCCGCTGCCCCGACTCTTGTGACCCCTGCAAACACGACCTCGCCAATCACGCACGGAGGGGCATAGACAAAATCCAAAGCTGCTCTCGACCGAACCGAAGACTACAGTACGCAACTTGGCCGGAAAAAAAAAACGGCCAGGCAAACAGCACCCACCCCCTCCCAAGTTTGCAGCTCGTTTTCCTTTTTCTTTTCTTTTTTTGGGGGGGGGGCGAGAAATGTAATCAGCTCCATTTTCTCTGCCCGCCCTTCCAAAACTTGATGGAAAGAGACGGCCATGCAAACAGCACCCATCCCCTCCTAAATTTGCAGCCCTTTTTCTTTTTTTTGTTGGGGGGGGGGAGAAATGTAATCAGCTCGGTTGTCATCCCAAAAGACTTGTCTGCCTCATTAGGCTAGAGCCACTACAGTCTTCCCCCGAATACAACGTACGGTCATTATAACTGAATTTAGACTGAAAGATGTCTCAAATTCAGCTATAATGACGGTACGTTGTGTTCGGGGGAAGACTGTAGGCCAGGGTGCCGTCCATGCACAGGTTCAGCAGTCACAGTGGTAGAGTACGTATTGGTGGTTTGACAGTCTCTTTTGTTCTGTGATCTAGTTCTTTGATTATCTGCGAACTGTACTAGGCTACCAGAGTGACCCGGGCCGGGCAAAAAATATATATATGACGATATATATACGATATATATATATTTTTCAACTTTATTGTGTTTTTTTAAAAATTTGGCAATGAATTTCGATGCGACCCTGAGGCAAAAGTTGTTTAGTTTTCTGCATAACATAGTTTTTTTCTGAGTACGGACGCTGCCCGGCCGGGCGGGGCCGGGTGGGTCGCCCGGGCAAACCGGGCGGGCAAAAAAAACAGCCCAGAAATTATTATTTTTTTTTTTGAAGGCGGGGTCCTACTGTGCTCGGCGAGAGGACCCCGAATCTGCAATAAAATTCTGGTTTGGGGGGTTGTCTGGGTGT